GCTAATTGTCTATTCTTTTCCAGGGATTTGCGTATCCCGACAAATCTATTTCTGTGTGTAGGCTCCTGATGGTTCAAGATCTTAGTTCCATCTCTATTTCCCATTTTGTTTCCTCTGGGTACTTGTCCGTGATATTGATAACCTCGACCAGGATGTCTCCTAGAAGGCTCCTGTGATGTTGAATAGAAAAATTGAGTCGTTTTTCCAGGAACGCGGTTGTTTCGGGATTGAGAGGTATTGATGATAAGTTTACTACTTTCTTCCTATCACCGTGCTGTTCAGTAAGTGTTGTCACTTTGGAAACTACTCCAATTGGGCGTACTGTCCTCAACTTAGGCTGTCTAAAATGCCAAACTTACGCAACTTATCGTCATGCCGTTTGGTTATTAAGTCACAAATCCTACGTGATTTCCTGTCCGTCATGCTCTGGAGTTTTTGAAAATTTTCCGGAGACAGGATTCGGACAACTTTCTCTCTAAAAGTGGGCATAACTGAAGGAAGTGTCGTAGTTTCCATCAAGGCCGTTTTTATTTCCCACTTCCTTACTTGTTCATCTATCCTTTTAGAGAGAATGCACGAAGGTAAAGATAAAACATGAGAAAAGGTCTCCTTATCTCTCCGTACGTATTCACAATTCAAAAGGCTATTCTTTATTAATCTAATGTTATTTTCAATCAAGCCTAGAGGATAATTATTCTCAAAAAAATTTATTTTAAGCCGATTCAGTTCATTGTCACAATGGTCTACATCAGCTAGACTTACGCTCCGAATAATCATAGATTTTAAAACTCCTATCTTTGCTGTATAGCTATGATTGGAGAAGAAGTCTAAAACCAGGATGTTTTGTAGAAGTGGGTTGACCTCGTTGTCGTTTAACTCTTTAAAGAGTTCGTATCTTGGTGCGGAGAATGGCAAGGCTCACTGATGATGCCGACTACGATGCCGGCGAAATGTTTAAGAATGTATCCAGTCAACTGTCAGATCCTGGGAATCAAGACAACTACTATGGCAGACGACTTCGGACTAGGTGCGTTCTACATAGTCTTCCTGAACACAAAACCAAGTTGCGACAACGAGGTCAACCCACTTCTATAAATCGAAAGGAGGCTGCGACCATAACATAGGTCACAACATCTTGGTCTTCATATATTCAGGATGTTTTGGCTTTCTATAGACATCCCTGCTTAACTTCTCACCTGCTCTGATCACTAAGACATCTAAAAATGATAAATTATTGTTGATCTCTATCTCCATTGTTAACTTAATATTGTAGTCAATCTGGTTAATTAAAAACAAGAAATTATCTAAACAATCCTTTCCATGTTGCCATATGGCAAAGTAGTCATCCATATATCTAACTAACAGTTTGATTGTCAATCTTACCTCTTCCATGAAGTGTTCCTGCATTCTTAACATGTAATTATTAGCTAAAATGGGAGCCAAGCAAGATCTAATCTCTAGGCCTTGCGCCTGTTCATAAACTTTATCATTAAAGGTGAAGTTTATGCTCCTCATGGATAGATTAAGAAGCCTTAAGATTGAGTCTTTGCTCAGATTTGCCTCCACAGTAACTTGTGTGCTCATCTAGGCTGAGTGTAGGTGCTTCAATAGCTTTCTGGACTGGGATGTTAGTATACATTGATACAACATCAAAACTAACCAAAAAATTATCCTCTTTAATAATCTGTTGATCTATTGATCTAGCACATTCATATGAATTCTTCACTGAATATTTCCAATACTCAGCTGATTTCCTTAGTTGTCTACATAAGAAACCTGAGATCCTGTGTATCACATTACCCTTGTTATTAACAATCAATCTTAAAGGAACTCCTTCCTTTTGTATTTTTGGAAGGCCGTAAGCCAAAGGTGCCATTGTATCCATCTGAAGAAGTGAATTCATCTTCCACTTCCCATTTTGTCTCTATTTTCTTTGAGTATAGTCTACCTGATACATACTCCAGTTTCCTATTAGCGGAAATAGGTAACTCTGGACGTCCACCAAAAATACAACATCTAGGAACCGCATTATGTGAAATCCAAATTTTTTAAAATCCTATAGTATTTACTTGCCGGGATATAGATTTCTTGGTTTTCGTATAGCCAAAAGAAAGTTAATAACAATTCGTATCATACATACGTAATATATGAGGAGAAAATTTAGATTTCGAGGAAATTTCTTATTTAATAATTGTTGAGCTTACTTCCAATCGACAGCTGATCAAGAGGAATCCACCGTCGTCTTCTGGTGAAACCGACCCTCGAATCTCTTCATCCAGCACTCTTACTCGAAATGAAAGTAAGCTCAACAGTTACTGATATATCCAATTTCTTACTCATATTTACTTAATCCCTTTCTCCTTACTTTAGATACATTTATTTTTTAATTTTTATTTGCTTTATTCCAGATACATACTCAATGCATGCTCTCTAGTATCGACATAGATCTGAACAACTTATTGGACAATGAGCCCAGCACTCTTCTCTCTCCTCATTCTCTTGCTCATTCTCCGTTCAGTCGACCCTCTTCTTCATCCGCAGTTAATGCAAAGACCTCTGCAACAGGCAAGACGTCCATCTCTGGTCAAGCGTCACCTAGCAGGCTTTCTGATTTACGATCCTGCTTCTTTGGCAGTGGACCAGACCCCGTCACCTCAACCACTGTTGCTTCTTCTCCATTCGGCTGCATTCTCCAGCATCATATCAGACAGTTTGCTGCCGCTAACCAACAAAACCAGCACCAACTTTCTGCGACGATACCTACTAAAAAGGCGGAGATTAGTCCTGCAGTGCCAATCACGACTTCAAAAACTCAAAATGATAATTTTATTAAGCGTGGTGACTCATTATCGAAGGCCCAAGAGGTTTGTGTTCATATTTGTGTTTACTTTTTAATACGAAGAAAAGTTGGGTTTCGAGGCATCTCTTGGCCTACTTTAAATGAAAGTGTGTGAGGAAGAGATTCGAATGTAACTCCTATTAAAGGACTATGACGATTTCTTATTTGCTAATGTTGCTTGGCTTTATTTGTACATCCTGATTTACGCTATCGTTAACACGATCAATCAACTTGACACTAAGTACTACCTACTTCACATTCAATAGCAACATCTATGAATAGACATTTGGACTTCCTATGTGAACCCCTCTCTCATCTCTATTGGAAAATGTATACATGAACAAATTAGACGAGAATTTCTAGGTGCCATCGCTGCAACCAAGAGTTCTAATGCGGTACCTGGATGACTTTGCAATATGGTCGCATGGAAGATAAAAGTTGGAGGATTTTCTGAAGTTAACGAAACGGATCTATGAGAAAATCAAATTCACAATGGATGCAGAGGAAGAGGGGCGTTTAACCTTCCTAGATGGGGCGGTTATTCACTATACTAGGACACTTAAGAGGAAATTGTTCCGAAAGAAGTTATATGTCGGAATAATACTCAATTTCGAATCTCATCACAACTACAGAATGAAGATAGGCACATTGAGGAGTATGATTATTAGAAGGCTTACGATTAACAGACGTGGAATTCTGGGATGAAGAATTGGAATAATTTACTTGGATGTTCCTCGGTAATGGATATCAGAAAGAAGTGATTCAAAAAAACATACTGACCGTGAAGAGCCGGTAGCAGGACGGAAATTATGAAAGAAAGAAAATGATGGAGAAAGACTCACAAAAGGGGATGTCTCCCTTCCTGTGAACTAGCTCAAAAACTACAGTCAATATTAAGAAAATGGAATATTTCTGTGACCAAGAAGGAAAAAACAACACTCTTCACAAGTCTATCCATGCAGTATGAGAGGGTAGATAATTTTGATTGCTCAGGAGTTTACTGCATAGCATGCGGCGTCTGCGAACAGAAATACATTGGCGAAATTTGTAGAAAAATCGGCATAGGAATCACGAAACAGCTCTGCATGAAAATTGATACTAAAAGATTAGACATAGCGAACACATTGCGGATAATGGACACGAGATCAATTTTCAGGCAACAGAAAGAAGGGCCTCATACAGTAAAAGCACAAAGAAACGGAAGATTATGGAGGCCATTGGGATCCTTGAGGGAAAACAATTAATGTACAGGAGATTGAAAGAAGGCAGAGTCAGTGATAACTTTGCCTATTTAGTAAACAAACTTGGAAAAGACAGGGATGCAACAAGACAGGCAAAAAGGAGACGCTTGGATAAAGGATCTATCGTCAACCCGAGGAAAAGGGATCGCAAGGAAGAAGAGGATGGGGAAGTTTTGGAAATGAAGCGAAGCCGGTTTCAGTGAGTGTAATCATCTCGAATAAACAACTACAACTTGGGGGCCCGACGTTTTACGGGACTAGAAAGAAGGGTTGGATCACAGATATCAGCCATTATGACCAAATGGACTAATAATGCACTTGAGATGCAGCAGGCAACCAGAGATAGATGTCCATACTTTGCTCAGGGTACACGGGCTTAATCGAGGAGATGATGCGTGAAGGTAATGCCTAATATACGCAAGCATGGGAATCAGAGCCTAGGCGCTCTGAAGATAAGGCGTCTTTTTACCTGCTATTAAGACTCGAGGAACAGAACTTGGAGTAAAACTACGCTGGGGCTAGAACCGGGTGAGATCGGTCAACCAGGAAGATAAGAAACGGACTCACGGGCCAATGAGACAGATCCGGACAGGAGACTGGAGCAGGATCAGCCACTCGAAAGGAAGGGGAGCAAGGCAAACAGCAGGTGTGATGACGCCATGGTAAATTCGCCCAAAAGACACATCTCGTGTGGAATCTAAACATGTCAGAAGTTGTGATAGGACGAGGACGAAACTTTATGGTAGGAGATAGATAGAGGGATCAAGACAAAACGAAGAGTGATAGCATAACCAGCTTGACAGAAAGTTGGTTAAGGGATTGACTTCACTTGTCTCTTTGACAACTGGTTGGCTGAGAATGGCAAGACTTACTGATGATGCCGACTACGATGCCGGCGAAACGTCTGTGAATTTACCAAGTCCACGGTCTGTCTCTGGAAATGGCCATGCATACTATCGACTCCGGACAAGGTGTGTTACTTTAGGTCTTCCTGCTAATATGACCAAGTTGCGAAAGCAAGGTCAAACAACTATGAATTAACCAAGTTATTCTATATTGGGACATGACTTTTCATTAAAAGAAATTCATGATATAGATTCACTGGAAACAGATGGTGCATTGCCATGTAGAGAATACTATTTTATTGTACTAAGGAGTCCTCGGCTCACAGTCCTGCGACCCCGATGAAAATGTGCTAAACTTTCGTTTGTATTATGGCAGACATCATCAGAGCCTTAGTCCATACTTCACGAAATTGGGCAAAAATATACTTAAACTAAGAGAAAAGATGGCCGACTGCAATCCTAGTTGCTTTTTTATACACCTAACTTCTCGATCTTAATCGGGAAATCCCATGATTGGGTTGGCCACTTCAACCTTACTTACTTCACGAACCGGAAGTGCGTTCGGTGGCAGCTGTTTCCTGACACGATCCATAATATTAAATCATGTTTGGGTTTGCGCTATTTCCTATTGTGTAGATATAATGTTCAAGTCATGAGAAATGTGAGACTTGTTTAATCTAGCCTCTTTCCCTCGTTCAGTGGCTCTTCCTGCACTCCCTCTCTCTTCTTGAGCCTATCCAACAGTCACATAATTCCTACTCAGTTTTCTACACATGTTCCTCCTATTCAGGACGCTGGTTGTTTTGTTAATTTCTATAGACTCCCTGAGCTTACGCTTTGATGCGAAGTCCCCTTAACCCACAAAAAGTAGTATTTTAGACGAGTCTATTGACTGTCCTGTATTAGCCATGTGTTCAACAGGCTCAGATTTTTGGATTCATAGACCTTACCACATGAGTACAAAACCTTGTAGCAGCCTGACATAAAAAGTGGATATGAAAATTCTCTAAACGAAGCAACTACTAGAGAAAGTGTTAATTTCCCTCTATACATTATGTTTATGCTCCACTTCCTTAGTAGATTACCCGACTTTTTCACAACCTGACAAGAAGGCAAAGTCAGGAACCCAGTAGAATTGTTTAATTGTCTATCCCGCCCCAGATAACTATCTCCTAATCCTGTTACTGACAATTGATATGTAATTGTCTGCTAATCCCAATCAAGAAGAGACTATGCGAACACAAAACCGCTTGCATGCATATGTTTATATATATAAGTAGCGGAAAAAAAACAAATTTATTACAACATACAAAGCAGCTTGTTTCCTACTTATGTAGTGCAAAAATCTGCAGACTTTACGCCTATTTTGTATGATAGAATTTAAAAAGTTTTGTCCAATTTTTGTCTTCAAAATGAATTTGGGGAAGCTTTGCCTCTGAAATTTTGACTTTACCGGAACATTCTGATTATTGTTATCTTCAAGATCATCTCCATTTGTTCCTATAAAGGCGTATTAAGCTTCCGTCCTTAATATGACATTGTCTCAAGGTCAGCGTTACTCTGAATTATCTGATAAATCCAAACGACGCATGACCAAGGTGAACCTGCGGTAGTGTTCTCAATGAATCAATCTACGCATCTCTTCGTCACACTTTAATTTTACGTTG